CCCCCACTCATCCAATGCCTTTGGACAGCCCATCTTCCAATAGTTCTGGACACTCGTAGGTAGCTGAAGACTGAATGGAAGGAAGACTGCCTAACTTTTATGAAATCAGCACTTTGATCAAAGTGGAAGCAGGGCAAAAACAGCTGGTGATTTACCTGATTTACATGGTTACAATGTAAGGGAATGGTGTGATGCACTCCTATCACAGGGTGCCATGCAGCTGTTAAAGAATTAGATTCTTATCGTTTTACTTGGAAAATGTGTGTAAACTTTAATACACAAAATAGCAAACATAAATAGTTCTATGTATAATAAATGAAGCCCCAAATTAGTCCATTAAAAATAAAATATAGATTTTGATTACTTTTGTATTCTTTACATTTGTCATAAAAACAATCTCTGCATTATTTATGTAATAGGAAAATTTAAAATGGAAAAACAGGTTAAAATATGCCATTGCATACTTAATGCATTAAAAAACTGTGTAAGGACAAAAAATTAATACTAATTTATCTGAGGTGCTGGAATCATAGCTCCTCATCGTTTTCTTCTTTCAGCTCTTCTCTCAAATTTTCAGGCAAAGTATATGTATTTATTTGTATTTGTATTTAAAGTGTTCTCACACTTCCTTAAGGCTACAAGATGATTGTAATAACTTGTTATCTGCCTGAAGAAATAAGGAGTGGTGTGACATGGATATTCGTCCCTTTGGCTAAGATCAAGTGAAAATAATGCTACTATCTATTCTAAATTTCACATTTTAGAAAATGCCTTCATGACCTCATTTAACTCTCAGGACAGTTCCATGAGGTGCTGCCACCCACTTTTACAATAAGAAAAATGTCCAGGTAAGAGAAGTTTTTACATTCACAGGGCTACTGAGTATTCATATCAAGGCATCTTACTCTGCATCTATTACTCTTTCCTTATAGAGATGGAAAATGACACGTTTAAGAACAGAAAATCACAGTCCCCTCAGCATTCAAGGGAAAAATCCCACTGGTCACAGCATAGCATCCTTTTTAAAAATTGCTGATTCAATTTGCTGACATTTGTTAAGAATTTTTTACACCTATTTTCATGAGGAACACTGGTTTGTTTGTTTGTTTTTTCCTCCAACTGTGATCTGGTGTTTTTTCACTTTGCTTTTGCCGAGGCAGGCCTATTTTATTTTTTAATTTTTACAGTAGCTTATTTTATTGAGGTAAAATATATATGTATAATTTACCATCTTTACCATTTTTAAGTGTAAAGTTCAGTGGAAATAAATACATTTATGTTCTTTGTTTCCCTTCATCTTCCCCCCTCCCCAAGTTTTGATATCAACTAATATTCATTTCATGAAATGAGTAGGAAATAGTTCTCTACCTTTTTCTGGAAAAGTTTATGTAGACGTGATATTATTTCCTCTTTAAAGGTTTGATAGAATCTACCAATGAAGCCATCTAGTCTTGGAAATGCAGAGATGGGGTTTTGCCATGTTGACCAGGCTGGTCTCGAACTGGCCTCAAGCTATCCACCAACGTCGATCTCCCAAAGTGCTGAAATTATAGGCATGAGCCATCGTGCCCAGCCCTACTTTTCCAAGACATATTTGTGAACACAAAGATGAGAGACACCTTGTGAATATAAATATTTGTTTTCTCCACAGGCACAATTACATGAAGAAAATCCGAGGCAGGGGGGTTCGAAGACAGGATAAGAGGCAGCAACACCAAGACGTGCGTTTTGCTTATGGAAAACATTGCTTCATCCCGTAGTCGGCAGGATTCGAACCTGCGCGGGGAGACCCCAATGGATTTCTAGTCCATCGCCTTAACCACTCGGCCACGACTACAGCTACAAAGCCTCTGACCTTGATATATTGGTGGAATCACGTGCTAGGTGATGTGTGCAAACTTCTGTCTTTGGTGAGTTTGCTGGAAACGCTCAGGTGAAATGAGAATTCGAGGAAAAGAAGTCAGGATACTCTTAGTAATTGAGAGCACTGCAATTAGAGAGAGACCTCATCGCATAAGCATTAATTTCCAGGAAATATCCAGGCAGTTGAAAAACACCCAGCGAGCGCCTGCCTGCCCCGGGCCGGCCAGGTTTCTGTACTCGCCGCAGCGGGCACCAAACCTACCCGGTTCCCACGGGGAGTCCTGGCCGACTCTCCTCTAATCCGGGATGTTCGGACTTCTCGGAGCCCTAAGCTCCTCGGTGAATGACGGTGTTTCTAAGGGAGTCCAGGCACAGAATCGCTTCCCCTGATTTGTGTCGTAGGTGAAGGAAGCGAAAAATTATATGGAAAAGTCTCCTCTGTGTCCCTTCGTTGTGACATTGTTAAGCTTTTTAGGCTCAGAATTTGGTTTGACTTTTGGCTGACGCGGGGGCTTCCCACGTTGCTCTAAATTTAATCAAGCCAGCACGTTTTCTTTCTCCCTCTTACGTTTCGACCTTAGTATCTCAGTAACAGTGTTTTCCTAAGACCTGAGAGTGATTTGTCTACCCTGCTGAGAGAGTTTTAATCTCATTTTCTAGAGAAGAAAGAGAAGTCGAGGAAGAGGAGGAAAGGCAGAGTGGGCAGAGGAGGAGACGAGAATGGTAACAGAGAGGTCTATTGTGACATCTAAATAATGAAAGGAGACGGGTAAAGAGTGAAGGCAGGGTGAGGGGGAGCGAGGAAATACTGCTTTTCTATGGAAATACTAATAAAGTAATCTCTAAGAAGTCCCACGGTTTAACAAAGGGAGTCTGTTCTGAGAGTAGTATTAAGCTGAGTTTGGAGTAAGAGAACCAGATTCCATATTTAACTGAGCAGTCTGTTATTTACACTTTCTTGTTAAAATGAGTATCAGTCAAGTTATGAAATGACTAAATACAAATTTAACGGAAAATGTAACTTGTGATAGAAGTGTTTCCATAGTCATATCATATCCCTTTTATTTGGTCTACACATTTTAACATGCGTATAACATTTTAATCAAATTCCTTCAGAACTCTAGTTTGAAGGAAGTTAAATCCTGAAGAAATAACAGACTTTTCACGCTTTAAAAAATCAGCAAAAAAGGAAATTTTCTGTAATTAATATTAATATGCACTGAATTTATTGAATCAATTCTTGTTTTACTTAGAATAAAATGAACAGAGATTTGCGATGGCTCCAATCTCTTTTTAAAATTTTCTCCTCATTCATATATGTGGACCAAAGCATGGCAGAATAGATTCAGGTAAAACAAATGAATCAGAGTTCACTTGTAGGAAAAAAACTATTCTAGACATTTTAGTCCCAGACTAAAAACAGTCCAAAGTCCATCATCAATAGAAAACATAAATAGCTGTTTTTCATACAAAGGAATAGTAGAGCAACAGGGATATAAAATTTTCAATTACACACAAATTGGAAGAATCTCACAAACATAATATTGAAGTGATGCCATTCACAACAGCATACGTGCTTTCGTTTATATATACTGTAGCTTGAAACGAGCTCAACAAATGTGTGGTGTTAGAATCAGGCAGATGATTGTCACACTCAGAAAGGCCACGAAGAAACTTGATAGAGATCTTGGGAACGGTTGTATTTCTCAGACTGAGTTCTGGGTTCATAGGTGTGTTCACTTTGTGAAAACTTATTGAGTCGTAGAACTATGATTTATATACATTTCTGCATCAATATTGTGTTATATTATATGTCAATCAGAAGTTTACTTAGGCAAGCTGGGGTGACTCATGTATATAATCCCAGCACTTTGGGAGGCCAAGGTGGGAGTCCCAGACTAACCTGGGCAAGAGCCTGGGCAACAGAGCAAGACTCCCATCCCTACAAAAAATTGAATGAATTAAATTTATTTATTTGTTTATTTTATTTGAGATGGAGTCTTGCTCTGTTGCCCAGGCTGGAGTGTACTAGTGTGATCTCTGCCTCCTGGGTTCAGAGGATTCTTCTGCCTCAGCCCCATGAGTAACTGGAATTACAGGCATGCACCACCATGCCCAGTTAATTTTTGTATTTTTAGTAGAGGTGAGGTTTCACCATGTTGGCCAGGCTGGTCTCAGATTCCTGACCTCAGGTAATCCACCCACCTCAGCCTCCCAAAGTGCTTGGATTATAGGCGTGAGCCTGGACAAATAATATTTTTTTTAAAAAAGTACCTTAGAATCAAAACCTCTCAAGCTATTTTAAATAAAAGTGGATTAATAAAGAATACAGAGGCTTACAAAATTTTTAGAAGAGAGGGATGGAGAAAGGTATCAGTTCTAATTTGATTCTGCAGGAATTGCTGCCAAAATAACTTCAAAGAAATAGTCTCCATCGAGGGTGGTGTTGTTCCCAGAATCAAGAAAGTAGGAAATCAAGACGCTTCCACTAGAATTATTAACTTCAGGCAACTGTAGGCCGGCAGTCAGGAGGTTCTGCAACACTGGTGTTCCCTATAGGGCAGTAGTTCTCAAAATCTGGCATGACATCTAATTTATCATGACAGAAAGCAAGTCTGCCAGTGATTGGTGCCCAGGTCTTAATTTATAAAGACGACAGAGTGAAGACACAGAGAGGTCAATCCCATTGAAAGGAAATCATTATGTTGTTCACAGTTTCCCTAGAAACGAGAGGCATAGCACACCATGCAGGGCCACAGTGGGAAGTGCCAGTGTCACCCAGGAGGCAGAAAGGATCGGAAGGAAGGCATAAATTACAGTCCTTAATGGGGTTTCCATGGGAAAGGCAGGGCAGATCAGGGTGAACAGTTTAGAATTGGCTAGTTTGAATAATTTTGGCAGGCTTTGGGTATCGAAGCTGTACCTGGTTGTCTGATATTTGGCCCTTGGTTGATTTAGCACAGGGGAAATATTGGCTTAGTGTGTGAGAGTTAGATTAAAAAGGTCATTCAAAGTACGAGCTCTGGATAGCAGGAGAGGTAAATAACTCTGGCTATAGTTTGGCCCCTCTGATCAATGGATGCCAAACAGACAACTACAGACTCCAAGAAAACACAGAGCAGTCAAAAGCAATTTACATTTCTAAACAAGTTGCCATATTCTGCTGCTGCTGGTCTGGAAACCATACTTTCAGAATTACATATTGCAGAGCACAGCATGTCTCCCAGATGTGAATGAACAAACTGCTGCTCCTTACATGGCATTCCTCTGCAGAAAATCCCAGTGAGTCCATGTCAATGCTTGTGAGCACAAAACAAAAGAAACAGAAGGCCCCTTCTTTCCATATTTGAAAATCCTGAGGCAAAGCGTAAATAACACCCAGAACCCTAACTGCAAGAGTTGGAGAAATGTTGTTCTTTCTAGCCTCTAGTCTAGGAAGGCTCACTTGAAGGAGATGAAAATGAATGGTTACTGCCAATCTGCTATATATACCCTATACAGATGTTGAAGCTGAAATGTTCTGCCAAAACAGAGGGCCTTCCCAGAGGATTAAAAAATAATAAGTTAGTATTGCATTGAGGGGGAGCTTTCACTGTCCATGAAAGAGGACCCCAGTGTTAAGAGACCAGTGTATTAGTCCATTTTCATATAGCTGGTAAAGACATATCTGAGACTGGGTAATTTATAAAGAAAAAGAGATATAATGAACTCACAGTTTCACGTGGCTAGGGAGGTCTCACAATCATGGTGGAAGGTGAAAGGCATGTTGTACATGGTGGCAGACAAGAGAGAATGAAAAACCAAGCGAAAGGGTTTCCCCTCATAAAACCATCAGATCTTGTAAGACTTACTCACTACCACAAGGACAGTATGGTGGAAACCGCCCTCATGATTCAGTTTTCTCCCAAGGGGACCCTCCCACAATACGTGGGAATTATGGGAGCTGCAATTCAAGATGAGATTTGGGTGGGGACACAGCCAAACTGTTACTAGTAGAGGGTCTTCACTGCAAGTTGTCCAGGTTCTTGGTGTTTTGTTTTGAACAAAGAAATGGACAAAATGCACAACAAAGCAACCTAAGAATGAAGCAACAAAATAACAAAAACAGGGATTTACTGAAAATGAAAGTACACTCCACAGTGTGGGAGTGGCTCCAGTGGCGGCTCAAGGGCCCAGATACAGAATCTTCTTGGGGCCAAATACCTGCTAGAAGTTTCCCATTGGCCACTTGTTGCTCACCTCATGTTAATGAAGTGAGGGCCTGCAATCAGTCTGACTGCTTGCAGAAAGAAACCAAGTGGAGTTACAAAGGTCACACTCCTGTGCAAACATAAGGTGAAGTTACAAAGTTGCACTTCTATGTAAGCAAAAACTGGCCTGCAATCAGTCTGACTGGTTGCAGGGGGTTTGCAAAGGGAATTAGTCCTGGTCCTTCTGTTGCTTAGGCATGGAGGGTTAGGGTTTTCCTTTCAGTTTTGTTCTAGGAGGTCTGTGTGAACAGGCCTAGGTTCCCTGCCTTCAGACCCTGTTCTCCTGATGCAAAGCCATATCAACCGGCTTATCAGCCATTTCCCCATGAGACTCTATGCAGACTCCACCACGTGTTTTATGGTCTGTAGTTTTTTTTTCCTTGATTTTAAGGAATTCTTAATATAGTCTAGATGTATTAGTCAGGGTTCCCTTAGAGGGACAGAACTAATAGGATATATAGAAATATAAAGGAGGGTTTATTAAGTATTAACTTAAATGATCACAAGGTCCCACAAAATGCTGTCTGCAAGCTAAGGAGCAAGGAGAGCCAGTACCAAAACTGAAAGACCTGGAGTCTGATGTTAGAGGGTAGGAAGCATCCAGCACAGGAGAAAGATGTGGGCAGAGAGGCTAGTCCCGTCTAGTCCCTTCAAGTTTTTCTGCCTGCTTTATATTCACTGGTGGCTGATTAGATGGTGCCCACCCAATTAAAGGTGGGTCTGCTTTCCCCAGCCCACTGACTCAAATGTTAATCTCCTTTCCAACACCCTTACAGACACATCCAGCATCAATATTGCATCCTTCAATCCAATCAAGTCGATGCTCAATATTAACTATCACACTAGACGTGAGTCCTTCATCGTAATATGTATCACAAATATCTTCTTCTATTCTGTGCTTTGCATTTTTACACTATTGATAGTGTCTCTGGATCACTGAAAGTTCTGAAGTCTAAAATAAAATAAATAAAAATATTTATAGTTATTGCTTTTTGTGCTTATTAAACAGGAAGTATTTGCCGACCCAAAGTTCATGAAGATCGTTCATTGTTTTCCTTTATAACTTTTATTGTTTAAACTTGAACATTTGAATCTCTAATCCACCTTGAATTTGTTTAGGGAATCATTTAAGGAAAAATATCAGTGCTCACATTGTCTTCCTTTGTATATCCACTTGATTCAGCACCACCTTTAGAAAAATCTCTCTTTCCCTTACTGAATTGCATCGTAAGTAGTTTCACATGGGCAGATCCATTTTGTTTCATTGGTCTCTTTATCTTTATGTCAGTAACACTTTCTTAATCAGTGTATCTTCAGAATACAATAAATCTTGTTATGTGGTAGTAAAGTCCTTCAGATTTCCTCTTCCTCTGCAAGACTTCCTTTCCACTTGGACATGCGTTTTAGAAACAACTTGTCAATTCTACCAAAAGTTCTGTTTCAATATTTTATTTCAATTATATTTAATCTGAGCCTTTCAATCAATGAATATATTATATCCCTTCATTTATTTTGATATTTTAAAAAATCTATGCACAGTGATTTGTAGCTATTAATGTACCACTCTTACATATTTTTATTACATTTATTATTGTATTTATTATTAGATTATTGATAGTTTTGATATTGTAAATGACATTTTAAAAATTCATTGTTTTTTCAATATATACATGTAACATATATTTGAATATTGGTTTGTGTACCCAGCAAACTTATTTTCACTTAATGATTCTAATAATTTGTAGATTTTAGAGATTTTTTCAAGTAGATAATTACATTATCTGGAAATGGTGGCAGTCCTATTTCTTCATTGTCAATCTTAATATCTTTTAATACTTCGTCTTATTTAATGGCCTAAGATCCCCAATACAATGCTGAATAGCAGTGGTGATAGTGGTTGTGCTTGTCTTGATCCCAATATCTGTGAAAAGTGTTAAATACTTACTACAAATAGGATATTAAATGTAGGATTTGGGGCCAGGCGCGGCGGCTCACACCTGTTATCTCAGCACTTTGGGAGGCCGAGGTGTGCAGATCACGAGGTCAGGAGATCAAAACCATCCTGGCCAGAATGGTGAAACCCCCGTCGCTACTAAAAATACAAAAATTAGCTGGGGCGTGGTGGTGTGCATCTGTAATCCCAGCTATTTGGGAGGCTGAGGCAGGAGAATCCCTTGAACCAGGGAGGTGGAGGTTGCAATGAGCCGAGGTTGCACTACTGCACTCCAGCCCAGTGACGGAACAAGACTCCTGTCAAAAAAAAAAAAAAAAAAAAAAAAAAAAAGGTGGGATTTTGTATATATGTACTATGGGCTTAAGAAATTTCCTTTTTATACTTAGATTGCTTTTTTTCTTTTTTTTAACCAATGTAGTGTTGAATTTCATTAAATACTTATACTGCATCTACTGATATGATCATTGGTTTTTTCTTTTATACTTTGTAGTAAATTTAAAGTGATTGTTTTTTTGATAAAAAATTTCAAGTTACTGAAACACACATTATAGCTTAACATTTGACTGTTATATTACTGGGTCTGATTCCTCTTACTGTGTTTAGTGGTTTTATATCTAGAATGTTTAACACAAAGATTGACTTGTAATTTCTTCTTTAGTAATTCCTTCTCAGATTTTAGTATGAAGATTATGCTGGCCTTATAAAATGAATTGTGAAGAGTTTTCACTTTTTCTATTTTCCAAAAGAGTATGTATATTATATTAGTTCTTCCTTAATGCTTTAGGATTTCAGCAATGAAGCCATTTTTGCATACTGTTTGCCTGTTTTGTCCGAAGGTGTTATAGGCTGCATTGTGTCCCCTCAAAATGTACATGTTGAAGTCCTAACCTCCAGTACCTCAGAATGTGACTGTGTGTGGAGACAGAACCTTTAAAGAAGTGATTGAGTTTAAATGAGACCATTAAGGTGGGCCCTAACCTATTCTGCTGGTGAAAAATAAGACGAATTAAGTCTAACAAAAGTTGAGACAACATCTTGTTCACAGATGTACATTACAAGACATTCTAAAGGGTTTCCTCTCTCTCTTTTTTTTCCTTTGAGACAGTGTCTTGCTCTATCACCCAGTGGCGCAATCTTGGCTCACTGCAACCTCCACCTCCCGGGTTCAAGCAATTCTGGTGCTTCAGCATCCCGAGTAGCTGCGATTACAGACACATGCCACTACGCCCAGCTAATTTTTGTATTTTTAATAGTAATTTTTGTCGCAATTTTGTATTTTTAGTAGTAATTTTCGTATTTAGTATTTTGTATTTTCATCTTAGTAGAATAAGTATTTGATTAAATTCAATAATTCATGGTTTAAAACTCTCAAAATGAGAATAAAGGGGAATTTCTTTAGTCTAATAAATCTTAAGTACAAAACACCAACAATGAACCTGAGGTTCGGAACATGGCAAGAATGCCCATGATTATCACTTCTATATTTTAGTAGAGATGGGGTTTCACCATGTTGGCCAGGCTGGTCTCAAACTCCTGATCTCAGGTGATCTACTTACGGCGGCCTCTTGAAGTGCTGAGATTACAGGCATGAGCCACTGTACCCAGCCATATTGTGCTTTTCAAGGAATGCATCTATCTTATCAAATGTTTCACATATATTGACATAAAGACATTTATAATATCTCTCCCTTGTTTTTAAAATATCTTTAGGATTATATATAATATATTATTATATATTTAATCTGTTTCATTCCTAATGCTGGTATTCATATGTTATCTTAACCTCTGTTTACAGTCTTATTCAGGGTACATTGATTTTATTAATCTTTTTAAAAAACCAAACTTTTACTTTGTTGATTTTCTGTAATGTATGTTTGCTTTCCATTTTATTGATTTCTGCACTTGTTTTTAATAGCATTTAAATTGCTATTTGCATTTAAATTGCTGGCTTTTTATAGTCTCTTCAGTTAGAGCACTGATTTTCAACCTTTCTATTGCTCTAATACACATAATTAGAGGTAAAATTTGTTCTCTATAAACAGCTTTAGATGCATTAGACAAATTATGATACATCTTACTTTCATTATGTTTCAGC